CAGCCCTTCCTCTGTCACAAATGTGGACGACGCTCGGTTGATGGCTTAGCTATTAGCCTAACCGTGGGGAACGGAGCGGACTCTACATGCTAAAGGTCAGACAGCACACAGCGCATTACAAACGAGTGAAACCCATGCCCTCAACCACAGATAAAGAAAGAGAAAGAGGACAAAAGGGTCAAGCATCACCGTATTTCTCGTTTTACATACACAAACAAAAGAGGCCGAGCAGCAGACAGAACACTAACACAATGTGTAGTTCCGCAGTTAGACACAAACAAATCAGACTTCTTCCCATTGGTTGAGTTGAATTTGCATTTGCAGCCAGTCAAATAAAAGTAGCTAATATTGACAACAGAAAACCGTGAACAAATGAAACAAGAGGAATGCTTTTTCCCCTTGCGTTGCTTCAACAGCCCTTCCTCTGTCACAAATGTGGACGACGCTCGGTTGATGGCTTAGCTATTAGCCTAACCGTGGGGAACGGAGCGGACTCTACATGCTAAAGGTCAGACAGCACACAGCGCATTACAAACGAGTGAAACCCATGCCCTCAACCACAGATAAAGAAAGAGAAAGAGGACAAAAGGGTCAAGCATCACCGTATTTCTCGTTTTACATACACAAACAAAAGAGGCCGAGCAGCAGACAGAACACTAACACAATGTGTAGTTCCGCAGTTAGACACAATGGAGTCGAGTCGAGGGGCAAAAGCAATGCGGGAGTATGGGCTGTTGCTATGACGACAAAAGCATACCTGTGGAATGTGGCTGCTTGGAGACGGTGAGAGGCCATGCAGTGTTTCAGACCGAGAGGACGTGTGCATTCATGTTCAACTGATGTCTGCATAAAGAAATCCACTTTCTACGTGCGTGAAACATTCAATAAAAACGTGTCCTTACAATTTATTTCCCTCGTGTTTTAGATGGAATAAGATTCTAATTTTCACCAGGCATTTACATTTAATAAATAATCAATGCAGCTGCACATAATGGCAGTTTAGCACTGGTTGACTCAGCGGCTGGTCTCAGATGTCAGTGATCTGAGCGGTCTCATGCTGATGATACACGAGTGTGAACTTTCTACAGTGTGTATTTGATGCTCAGCTTAGTTCATCTAATGCCCAAACCCGTTAAACTCAAAGCCGTCTGAGAGTTTACAGGTCTCATCACACTCCGTGCCGTGAGTGGAAACTATTTCCTGCAGGAAGAATTTGAAGCGGATTCTCAATGACGGAATTGATATGCACATGCAGCATTTTTATCATATTCTAATTTACATGAAACACTTCATACGAGCATCCACATATACACGTAATCTCAGCTTTTATTACGTTCAGGTGAACTTTCCAAAACAGACATGGAGGTGCACAAGAGCTGTGCGCTGTGTCAACGGAAAAGAGATAAAGGCAAGGCTACGATAACGCTTGTTGATTTTGTACAGTTAGCCGCAGTGTGTAGAGATGTCTTTACCCGGTTTACCAGGTCAGCACAGGTTAAACCATCAACACACCTCCAAACCAACACACACACTCCTCATCATCTGCATCACACACACATGGGACAGTTTACCTTACAGATCTCATGAACTACATCTGCACGAAGAGACAATGACACCAGAATAACCTGAAGATACTGTATATGTTCATCACAGTGATGCCTCACACTGAATGACAGAGTGTCCTAAAATCAAAACACATCGTTTTCTCTACAGTCTAGTTAGGGCCCTATGAAATCCGCTTAATTTTTTCCATTTGAATTTTTCTGGATTCCATGTTTGTTTGTTTTTTTTCTTCGTTTTAATTTTTCTCGACTCCTCTGCAGTGGAACAGTCCACAAGTCGTCAAATAAAGCTTGCACATTCATAATATAACGTGCCGCAGACGGCTCCGGGGGGTGAAAAAAGGCCTCCTGTTGCGAATCCATGTGTTTTTGTAAGAAAAATATCCATATTTCAAACGTAATAAACGCATTTCTCTCACTTCCGGCATGCATTTGTTTTATTATGAATGCGTGAGCTTTATTTGAGGACTTGTGGACTGTTCAACTGCAACACCCGCTGACTGCAATGATAGAGCTTGGAATAGCCAGGACAATTTTTAATATAACTCCGACTGGATTCGTCTGAAAGAAGAAAGTCATATACACCTAGGATGCCTCGGGGGTGAGTAAAACACAGCCTAATTTTTGGGTGAACTAACCCTTTAAATATTCTTTTTGCGGCGTAATATTCAGATACTAGTCCATTTTGGGATTTGATTTTAAGTGTAATGATCTACTTTTGATTAGCAGACGGCTCTGGGGGGTGAAAAAAGGCCTCCTGTTGCGAATCCATGTGTTTTTGTAAGAAAAATATCCATATTTCAAACGTAATAAACGCATTTCTCTCACTTCCGGCATGCATTTGTTTTATTATGAATGCGTGAGCTTTATTTGAGGACTTGTGGACTGTTCAACTGCAACACCCGCTGACTGCAGTGATAGAGCTTGGAATAGCCAGGACAATTTTTAATATAACTCCGACTGGATTCGTCTGAAAGAAGAAAGTCATATACACCTAGGATGCTTCGAGAGTGAGTAAAACACAGCCTAATTTTTGGGTGAACTAACCCTTTAAATATTCTTTTTGCGGCGTAATATTCAGATACTAGTCCATTTTGGGATTTGATTTTAAGTGTAATGATCTACTTTTGATTAAATCATTCAAAATTTGACAAATTCTGTCATGATATTATTCCATGTTATACAGTAAATTTAATTTTTATACCTGGATTCCGTGATTCCGTCCGGGTTTTTCGCATCGTGGAAATCATAGGGCCTTACATAGTTTTCAATTACAGGTGCTGTATGTAATTAGTTCGACTGTGTTAAAGCATATAAACAATATAATATGTTTGCAGACATTTAAGAAACATGATACAGTACATTTCTTAACGCTAAAGTCAGTTATTCTGCTTTAAAATGTGTGTTTTGTGTCAGAATGTCTGGTTTTGTTTTGGTCTGTGTGACTCCGCCCACTGCCAGTTTAACCAATAGTATTTCCACACCCCGTGTTGCCAAGTTGGCTGTAAACACAGCGTATTGCAGCCACGGAAGAGTATTTTGTTCTAAGGCCCTATGAAATCACAATTTCCTTTTTTTCCTTACTAAATTCTGTTTTAATTTGACTGGATTCGGTTTAATGGTTTAAGTACCTGTCTAATCGATTAAATTAATATAATTTGAACTTTAATAATAACTTATTAACATTTTTGCAATAATAGGGTCATGTGAAAATGTAATTTTTTTCTGAAATTCTGTGTTGTTTGTTTGAATGTACAGTGCAGCTGCGAGACTGCAACAACAGGCATGCGTTTCATGATTTCATACCGAGTGTTTCTGCTGCGTATCACAGGACATAAAAGGGATTTCTGGGTTACTGCACTGAGAAACCCACAGACACACTGGAAGAGAGACGTCAGCGGCCTTTCTGACAACTACTCAGAACTGCCCAGCAATGCTAAATATCACTGAGGCTCCATTACAGCAATGAACGTCATGGGGAAACTGTCATGATAGCAATGTCACCACACACACACACACACACAAAATGTTTGATAGCAAAATATCAGTTGTCCTTTGATTTTTGGGCTGAACTATTTCCATCCAAAGTTGCAAATTTAACTTATGTGCAAAATTGGAATAAAACATTTGAGAAAAAGCACTATGCAAAAGTTTCTATGCAACGAGTCAGAGAGAACAAAATCGTCACTTCCTGATAAACTGGCACTAAATAAGAAAAGTAGGAGAAGCCACTGAACATAATATTTTTCATATATAAAAAATAACTTGCGCCTTTCAAAACATCGCTACAGAGCGCACGCATACATTATGTGAAGCCTAGACTAGTGCGAGTGCGCATTTAGTGTGTGTTCTTTCACTGCATGATTCAGTCTATTAAAATGCATTTAGAATGATCATCGCACACCCCTAGTTCGAAATCATTTTAATTGAAACATCTAATTGCCAGATTTCCAGTGTCCTACCAATAATTTGTTTTTTTGGACAAATAAAAATCTTTAAAGCCATTTTTCTAAGTTTCACAGTCTGGAGCACAGCGGCAAGCCACCCGTCACTCAAGTGGCCACGCCCTTAATTATGCAGAACTTTAAGGCTTAATATAATTTAAACGGATGAGTTATAAAAACATTCACCCTCTCACAGTCGTCATGAAGGGCAAAATTAGCTATAGACCAAAACCACTTTCTGTATCAGGCTGTAAACATGTTTTTTTCTTCTTCTGTCTATCATAATCAGAAATGTTTCTTGAGCAGCATATTATACTGATTTCTGAAGATCATGTGAGCAGTGTTTGGGGAAAGTTACTTTTAAAACAAATACAATATTGCGTTACTACATAAAAAGTAACTAATTACGTTACTTAGTTACTTTTTATGGAAAGTAATGCGTTACGTTACTTTTGAAGTAACTTGCGTTACTTGTAATGCGTTACTGCGCGTGACACTGAAGACTGGAGGAATGATGCTGAAATACAGCCATATCGGCATCAGCAGCCGCTGACAAACCCATGCTGTGCAGGACTCTGGAGGCTGAGTCTGTGTGGCTGCAGGTCTGCTGGACTAATACTGAAGGGCTGCCGCTTTAAATGTCTCGATAACGCCCAGTGCTGGCCGATATATCGGTCTGTCGCTACTTACAACACAGACGCTGGAGAACACTACAAGAGCCCACCTAGTAACCACACCTGAGCAACCACACACTAAACATAATCCCACCATCACTGACTCTAAAACAGCCTGAAAACAGCATGATTAGGTTATCATCTTAAACTGACAGACAGCATCTCCAGAGAGAGAAGAGAAGTAAACACTAAGAGCACTCTAACCCCTAGTTAGGTCTCGCTAGGCAGCTTAACAGGTTGGAAACACAGCCCTAGCATGCAGTGGCCATAAATAGTGCACACTGCTTAGTGATAAACAAACGCGTTGATGCGAGCCTCACCTCGCTGCTGGAGACTCCGCCGGCTCTTTGCAGCCGACAGCCGATAAGGCTCCGCTGTTGCTGGTGTAAGCGGTTAACACGACGCCCTGCTCGTCCTGCTGTCGACTCATCTTTAGCGCAGCATTGTTGCGAAAGTTTCGGTGTAACTTCGGACGAACTAGCGCTGGACTCTCGCCTAACAACGTGAGTAACCGGAGTTATACACTCCGCCCCCGCGGCGGCATGTTGACCAATCCTAGAGCGGGGAAGAGTCGGCTCATGAATATTAATTATATTATGTCACGCTGACCCAACAAGCCCTGCTGATTGGCTGAAATGCATACGCTGTTAAGTAAGCAGGCTTGATTCATTAATATTATTATACCAACGCTCCAGAAAAGCTACCAGGCAACCCACGTAACGTATTTAATATACATTAGATACGTCTTTAGCGAAACAAATTTTTTTTTTTAAATTTGACTTTAGTAGCCTTCAATCAAGACCCTCAGAGATTAAATCATATGTTGACACTGTTTCACAGAGCATCCACTAACCCCCAGTGATTCACCTCAGCTTGTATCTCAGACACTTATTGATGTGTATTAATTTAACAACCTTGGTTCCATTCATTAATTATGGCACACATTGTGTGATACACACAATAAAGGCAGCAGCATTCAGCAAAAGCACTGATGCAAGTGTATCAGATGATTTGGTTAATTAACACACATGCATAACGTGACCCAACACTGAAAAAAGATGTCAGCCTTTTGTAGCAGGTATGATGTTCGCTCCGTTTGCCTGTAATGTGCCTTCTGTGTGTCAACAGTGTGGCCCACGGTCCAGATTAAATGGCATCCCCCTCTCTGAAAAAGTGGCTGTTTTTAGGCCGAGCCGAGAGTGAAGGGAAGGAGACATGACGTTCAGCCGAACGCTGACCACGCAGATACACTGGAGACCATTATTTATTTACTTCAGTTCCTCAACCCTCTTCAGAACACAAGCGAACACACGTTTCCATTACCATCACAGCTATTTGCTCAGCGCGTCTGTCTCTGCACGAGCGCCTGCGAGCTGTGTTCATGTGTGACGATACGGTCCAGATCACACACTGAATAAAAGTGCACTTTATTTCCATAGCTGTGTTCTGCTATCAGACACATGCACGACACTAACGTGCAGAAGACACAAGCATGGACTCTGTATTGTCTCATATAGGTTTCATTGTGTGTCGTATGTTTATTTTTGAAACATAAATAATGGTTTTGAAGAGTAGTTATGTCATGGTGTGTTGCTGATGCAAATCAAATAGTCACTAGTTAATAGTTAAGCATCAGCTGGACTGCACTAACAGAAAGACCAGTTAAAGAGCGTTGACGCTGTGATGCTAGGCTGGTGGCAATGTGATTCCCGAGTGTTTTTCACTATGTTGATGGCTGCTAGGACTATGTGTTGCTGCTGGTTAGTAACTGGTTCAAGTCAAAAGAGTTGCTTTGTCTAAAATCACATACAGTCAGAGAAGGTGCTGCGTTTGATGAAGAGCATTTGATGCGATCCTTAAAGCATGCATATGCGTGTGAGAAGTCTGCATATATACTGTCTATATATGAAAGCTTGTTCCCACCACAGGATAAAAAAATAGAAAGGTAATTGTGAGTTTCATAAGTCTGTGAAAAAGTTTAGAATTGTGAGATATAAACTCACAATTAGCTTTTTATTTTTTATTCCGTGGCAGAAAAAAAAAACAGAATTGCATGTTCTAAACTCAGAATTTAGAAGGAAAAAAGAATTCAGACTGTCTTTTCTCCCTCCGAATTTGTTAAATTGTGAGATAAAAGATTTAAGCATTTATCTTTTTCTTCTTTCACAGGCTTGGTGGAACTCACTCAATCCACTAAGTTGGAAAAGTCACGTGAGCTGTAACATCAGGCGCTGCCATTTACAAATCCAACCCTTACGAAAATTAACCGTGTTTTTACTACAAATGAAACCAAAAAACATTGTTACTATAGTTAAACCACGATAACCACATTTACCATACTTTGCTACACTAACCATAGTTTAACCATGGTATTTGTAGTAAAACTGTGGTTATACAAATGGTAATCAATACGCCAAAAAAACATGGTTACTACACTTTTACTACAATAAAACCGTGGTTAATTTCCGATGTGACAACAACTTAAGTAAAATATCCATTAGCTGCACACTTCAAACAGAAGCAGTAGCTCATAAAGGTTGTTGTTTCACCCTGTTTCACGCATATTTGGACAAAACACTCATTTGACGTAATGCTTTCCACAGCATAGCAGCACAGCCCTCCTCAACAAGACACATGACTAGAGAAAGCATTCATGCATTGTGGACTAAAGTTTAATACAGTACTTAGGCTCAAGGGTTTGGCATTGTTTAGGCCAGAAGTTGACATCTTGGGCAACTCAAGCACAGAGCAATGTTTTGATAAAGACCCAGCATGCATCAGCAGTCTATCAATTATGGGTAGGAGATTTAAACCGATAGATTAAGGATTATGTTTTATTTAACATTTACTTGGTTTGCAATTTTTGTTAACAATTTCTAACAAGCATAATTACATAAATACACGTACATTTACAAAGCACTCTAACCCTAAATTTGTTTGATTTGACTATTTTCAAGTAAAAGTATTAATCTACAATAAAGTTTCATCAGTTTAGTTAAGATGATCAATGAACAATACTTCTACAGCATTTATTAATGTTTATTTACTAATACATTTAATACAAGTTGTAGTGAAGTAAGTGGCCTTGTATCTGTAAACACGAGTAAATGCACTATGAACTAACAACTGTAGGCTTTTATGAATGCAGATTTCACTTCCTGTGTGTCACAATTTTATGGAACACTCCATTTCTTTAATAGGGGGGCATTATGTTGTGACAGGGTTGCATGATCAGTTTGGCACTCAGCTAGACAACACATTTCTGGCAAATGTATATCTTTTTTTCTATAATGTATTAAATGTCAGTCAGACGATTTCATAATTATTGCACCGTTTGTGGAAAAACAACCCTTGGTCCAGTGTTTCCCTGATACAGACACTAACAACCAGTTACACAACACAACGTCATCACATGATCACAAAAGAGTGAAGGTGCATCTACCAGATACAGCACATCTCATACGAGTCTGCGTTTAAACTCACAAGGGAACGCAGGTGCAGTGCTGCTCAAACTTACAAGCTTGCATGCAAAGAAATCTCTTTCTGCTCTGCTCTTCTCGTTTCTCAGCGTGAAAGAGATACAGGCCAGATGAAGAATAGACTGAAATGTTATCTGTTCATAGCAGAGGTGTCACGGCCGCTCAACACATGCTAGGATCTTGTGTTTTCAGTGAGCTTTTATTGGCTGCTGTTTTCAGATGTTTCTTGTTGGTATAACACTTTAGATTAGAGAACACATATTCACTATTAACTAGGACTTTTGCCTCGGTAAACTCCTAATCAGCTGCTTAATAGTTAGTAAGGTACACTCTAAAAAATGCTGGGTTAAATACAACTCAGTGCTGGGTAAAATAGGGACAAACCCAGCAATTGGGCTGTTTTGACCCAGCTGTTGGGTTACTACCCAGATGGGTGGGTTAAGCATTTAACCCAACCGCTGGGTCAAAACAACCCAATTGCTGGGTTTGTCCCTATTTTACCCAGCACTGAGTTGTAACCAGTTACACAACACCACGTCATCACATGATCACAAAAGAGTGAAGGTGCATCTACCAGATACAGCACATCTCATACGAGTCTGCGTTTAAACTCACAAGGGAACGCAGGTGCAGTGCTGCTCAAACTTACAAGCTTGCATGCAAAGAAATCTCTTTCTGCTCTGCTCTTCTCGTTTCTCAGCGTGAAAGAGATACAGGCCAGATGAAGAATAGACTGAAATGTTATCTGTTCATAGCAGAGGTGTCACGGCCGCTCAACACATGCTAGGATCTTGTGTTTTCAGTGAGCTTTTATTGGCCGCTGTTTTCAGATGTTTCTTGTTGGTATAACACTTTAGATTAGAGAACACATTCACTATTAACTAGGACTTTTGCCTCGGTAAACTCCTAATCAGCTGCTTAATAGTTAGTAAGGTACACTCTAAAAAATGCTGGGTTAAATACAACTCAGTGCTGGGTAAAATAGGGACAAACCCAGCAATTGGGCTGTTTTGACCCAGCTGTTGGGTTACTACCCAGATGGGTGGGTTAAGCATTTAACCCAACCGCTGGGTCAAAACAACCCAATTGCTGGGTTTGTCCCTATTTTACCCAGCACTGAGTTGTTAACCCAGCGGTTTTTAGAGTGTAGTTGTTAAGTTTGGGTATGGGGTGGATTAGTACGGTCATGCAGATTAAGGCATTGATATGTGCTTTATAAGTACTAATAAACAGACAATATGCTAGTGATAGGCATGCTAATAAGCAACTAGTTAATAGTGAGAATAATTGGTCCCTAAACTAAAGTGCTGCATCTTTTCGTGAAGTTCACTTAATCTACCATCATGAAGTTATCACGTCACATTTCCATTTGCATCGTCAAATACATTAACGTTTGTAATTATTTCAACAATTGTTTCAGCTTGTTTCGGCAGAGAAGAGAAGTTATTTTTAAAACTGTACGACCACTACTGTAAAGAAAAAGAAGGATTCGGTAATATTTAGATACTTTACGTATCTGGACACTTGGTAACCACAAATTAACCATAGTTTAACCATGGTATTTGTAGTAAAACTGCCATGGTTACTACACGTTAACTACAATAAAGCCATGGTTAATTTTCCTAAGGGGTGGTTAGTAATTGGAAGATGTTGCTAGTTAATGCATTTCAAGCGTCAAACTTCACACTTCATGCATCCATTAAAAATGACCAGCAGATCCAAGCACACTCAGACTTCAGACATAATGAAGAAAAGCGAAGAGTAAAGATCCTGCAGCATTTGACTCACTTCGTCTAATACACTGGTTTTTAAGCATGCCTCAAATATCCAAATGCCTCTTTGGGGCCACTGTAGGAACATCTCGTGATCTAGAGGACCTCGGCGCCTCACAGAGAAGAGAAGAGCCGGAGCACTTACCAGAGCTGCAGGTAACACACGAGTTTGGTCACCATGACCTCAGGCGGGTCAGCGGCACCGAGCGCTCCTCTCCTCCTGTGCATCATCTCATTAAATCATTGATGAA